GGTGGCACCAGCCCCAGGAGACACGGGAGGACACGCGGGAACCCAACCCAATAAATTAGAGGCGGGGTGGGAAGGGGGAAAAGGACGCCAGGAGCGGGTCAGAGCCCGTTGGGGGAGCGCTGGATGAACGGCACTTTGCTGAGCTCCACCACGGGCGAGCGGGGCTTGTTCTGCATGCGGGGCACCCGCTGCAGCAGCTGCTGCGCCTGGCGCTGCGCGTCCCGCAGCTCCTTCCGCCACTGCACCAGCTCGGGGTCGCTCTGCGGGGCAGGCAATGGGTCAGGAGGGGCTCCTGGAGGGGACAGGGCAGGGGGACAGGGTGGCCAGGAAATGCTCAGGGCAGGGAACAGGTCAGGACAGGCTCCCCAGGACACCAGGGCAGAGGACAGGGTGGCCAAGGACTCCCAGGCAGCACACAGGGTGCCAGGGAAGGGTACGGAGCGGTTGGGTGCTCCCCAGGGCAGGGCACGGGGTGCTGGGGCAGGGGACTGGTGGTTTGGGGCTCGCTGAGGTGCCAGGGCAAGATTTGGTATGTCAGGGACTGCCCAGGGTGCCAGGGCAGGGTACATGTGCTCCCTGGGGCAGGGCATGGATCAGATCGGTTCTCCCCAGGGCACTGAGGCAGGGAACAGAGTGGTCAGGGGCTTCCCAGGGTGCCAGAGCAGGGGACAGAGTGGTTTGGGACTCCCTGGGGTGCCAGGACAAGGTACAGGGTGTTTTGGGTCTCCCTGGGTTCTGGAGCTGCCCTGAGCTTTCAGTATTCATGCCCTGTCACGGCTTGAAGGACTAAATGTGCAGGGGGTGGCCAGCACCCAGCAGAGATGGCCAGTGGCCCAAGAGGCTGACCAGCCCTAGGGGTGAGCCAGGGGGAGGGGGGCACACTCACATCACACTGCAGCACGAACTGCTTGCCCCCGCGGATGCGGAGCAGGATGCACTTGCGCTCCTTCACCTGCGTCTCCTCCACCGAGTCGATCTCCTCCATGGTGAGCAGGGACTGCTGGGGGGACAGGCTCAGCCCGGCCCCTGGCCCTCCACACCCCCCAGACCCCTCGCAGTGCCCACCCAGTGCCGTGCCCACCCCGTCCCGTGCCGCGCCCGCCTTACCGGCGACTCGCCCTCCCCGCGCCACTCGAGGCGGTTGGGGAAGAGGTAGAAGTAGCGGCGCTGCCACTGCGTCAGGAAGGGGTTGCCCAGCTTGGCCATGTACCCGTGCATGATGCAGTCCTTGCCCATGGCGTACTCTGTGCCCGGGAGAGGCAGGGTCAGCCCCGGGTGCGTTCCGAGGGGACCGTCAGGACGGGGGTCCCCGGCCCCACTCACCCTCCTCGTGGCCCAGCTGCTTGTTCTTGGCTTTCTTGCGGGCCTCCAGCTTGTCGGTGTCGGCGTTGACGGCGTCGAAGACGGTCTCGGTCACCTCCTGCTGCCAGCGCTCCGAGATGGTGAGTGGGAAGTTGCGGTACAGCTCCTGGTCGCTCTCCAGCAGCTGGGCAGGGCGGGGCGCCGGGGTGAGGGGCTGCTGGGCACCCCATGCCCCCACGCTCGGCCCCTGCGCCCCGGTACCTTGATGCCCTTGGTGTCCTCCTCATCGAAGGAGCCGATGTCGAAGGCGTCGGCCGCGTTCACCTCGCCGCGGGGCGGGATGAGGGGCGGCGGGTACTGTGGGTACGAACGGGGGGGTCACAGGGGTGGCTGCCCCTGCCCCTGCCCCTGTTCCCAACCATGGGCATAGTGCCTCTCACCTTCTGCAGGAAAACCATCTGCCAGTCCAGGCCCTTGAAGAAGGGCTCCTCCTTCACCTCCTGAGCCCTGGGGAGGCGGGGGAGCGGGTGAGCGGCGCTCTCAGAGCGGTGCACCAGCACACCCTCCCCGGCACCCCGGGGGTCTCGGGGCACTCACCCACGCCCCATGCAGCCCAGGCGCCGGTTGACATCCCGCTGCAGCAGCCCCTCCAGCAGAGAGCGCAGCTCCGGGGAGAAGGAGTCCGGCAGCTCCACAGCCTGTGGGAGATTCCACGAGCACACTGGCACCAAGGGACAGGGACAGGGACAGGGACAGGATACACACAGATGGGCACAAACATGCTCTGTGGGCATAGCCCAGCTGTCCCTGACCCTCCACATCCCCAGTGAGCCCCTCACATCACCACCAGCACATGGTGGGGGGCACAGCAGCCCAGAGGTGCTCGTGCCCTGCCCTCACATCAGCACTCCCGGCACACACACACACAGGGGAGCCCCCACTCACCATGGTGAGGGTCATCCGGTCGATCTCGTGCTTGTCCTTTGTCTTGTGCTGCCGAAACGGGCTGTGCCTGCAGCATCAGTGGGCAGAGGGGGGGTGGGTCAGCAGTGCCCACCTGTGCCCACCCGCACCCACCCGAGCCCGACACTCACCCCCGGAGCAGTTTGAAGAGCATACAGCCCAGGGAGAACCAGTCGGCGCTGCTGTCGTACGCCACCCCCTTCTGCAGCACCTCCGGTGCCATGTACCCGTGGGTGCCCCTGGGGAGGGGCACAGGGGGGTCAGGGGCCGCCCCGGGCGGGGGGGCAGGGCGGGCAGGGGTGTGGGCACACTCACACGCTGGCGTGGGGCTTCTTCTTGGAGAAGTCGCAGGCCAGGCCCAGGTCGGAGATGCGGACGTGCCCGAACTCGTCCAGGAGGATGTTTGCTGGCTGCCGAGACACGGCATTCCCCCTGAGCCCACGGGCACAGCTGCGGGGCTCTCTGGGATTTGGGGTGTCCACAGGACTGAGATGGGGCCGGGAAGTGCTGATGGGGTCAGCAAGTACCCGCCCTGAGGTCTCAGAGTCTGCGACTGATCTTAGGGGGCTCCCATAGGGTGCGGGTGCCTGTGGGGACGGTCACCTTGAGGTCACGGTACACGACGAAGCGGCTGTGCATGTGCTCCAGGCCCAGGATGATCTCGGCGGCGTAGAACCTCATCTCCGCCTCCGAGAAGACGCCGTGCTGGGACAGGTGATAGTGCAGGTCCCCCCCTGTGACCACAGGGACCAGCTGTCACCCTGGCACTGTCCCCGGAGCCACGGGGTCCCTCGGTACCGGGGTCTCACCGTTCATGAGGTCGAGGATGAAGCTGAGCTTGTCGGGCGTGTGGAAGGCGTACGACATGCACACGATGAACGGGCAGTCCTGGCAGGAGACACGGTGGGGGGGTCATCCTCCCTGTCCCTGTCCCTGTTCCCTGTCCCTGATCCCTGTGCCCTGCCACAGCCCAGCAGCAGCAGGGTGCCAGCCCTGCCCCTGTGCCCTCACCCCGGTGCTGACGAGGGACAGCATGATGCGCTCGTTGAGGGCCAGCGTCTCGCCCTGCTTCATCTTGATGCGCTTCTTGTCCAAGCACTTCATGGCGTACCTGGGGGCACGGAGTCCCTGCAGCCACTGTGTCCCCACGGCCACACCACCGTGTCCCTCCAGTGCCACCGCCGACGGCCACATCCCTGCACCCACCTCCCGCCCCGTAGCCGTGGCAGTTTCTCCGCAACACCCCGACACGCGTCATCACGGCAACACCACAGTGGGTGCCCTTGGGACCACCAGCCCCCCAAATCGTGGGTGAACCCCTCTGCCCCCCCCACCACGTGGAGTATCCCCTATTACATTTTGCCCGTGTCTGCTTTCCGGCAGCCGTAGACCTCCCCGAAACCGCCGCGGCCGATGATTCGGTGAACGCTGAAGTCGTTCATGGTGAGCTGGAGGGGTGACAAGGAGGCACGGGTGAGCCTGGACACCTGGGTCCCACAGCCTGTGTCTCAGTTTCCTCTGGTGAGGAACACAGAGGCTCCCCGTGTCCCCCTCCCTGGAGGTGCAGGGGTTCCCGCTCACATGGATGTTCAGCTCCACGTTCTTCCACTGGCAGAACCGCGTGAACTTGTCACTGCAAGCAAGCACAGACAGGGCAAGAGTGGAGACCCTGGAGAAACACCCTCTGCCAAGAACCCTTGGATTTGTCTGGAGGCAGGCAGCACCCCCTGGGACCCTTGTCTGGGAGCAGAGACCCTGGGAGAGACCTGGGGCTGAGAAGTGTCCC